AGGACCGGGGAAGAACGGGGAGGGGGGCGGGGGGGGAGCTGCAGGAAAACCGCAGCCCTCCTGCTTGAGAAACCTGTTTGTCTCAGGTCTGCTGATCCGAAAATAAGTTCTCCCTTGTTTAGTCGTGAACGCTGGGATCTAGCCCTCACAGAATGCATTTCTAAGGAACGCTGTGGTAGAGCCGGTGTAGGCTGACCTGGGGAGAGATGGCAAGCTGACTGACGGGGCGTTGGGTGAGGTGACGGGCTGTTGTGAGCCTTTGGAAGCAAGTCAGAGAATGAACGTATAAGGGTATTCCGGGTGAAATCGTCAGTGAACCAGGAGTGATGGCAAGTAAACTTACGTTACCGGGATTTTAAATTAACACTTGGAGTTGAGTGAGCGAATTTCCCTTTTTAAAGCTGCTTTTTCTATTAGGCATATGATTGTCGCTTACTAGACTTTCTGAAACGTTTCTCATTCAAAGGTTTTAAAGTTGTTGGGTATTTTTAATGTTAAATTTCCCACGGAACTTTCATCAGCGTAGAGAGAAATTCCTCTTGTTCCTTAGCTATCGAAACTGAACCAGAGAGAGATGAAGTGACATTTTAAGTTAAGAGAGGGAGTTAACCATGGAATTGGAACAACTTGCCTGTAGCCCGTTCGGCCTGTTTCTGTTTTGATTTCCAAGGACAGAGGTGGGATCCCATATATAGCAGATACTGTCCAAACCTTTGAAAGCTTCCTTTACTGTTGCCTGTTGTAGCATCTTTGATCCTGGAGAGTTGACACTTGCTGCGTTTCCTGGTGGGAGTTTGTTGTCGATAGCGTTGTCCACTACTGTTCATCATCTTTTCTCAGGCCAAACCAAAGAAGAAGTGAGAGAGATCGACAAAGTCATGTACCATGACTGGCGTATGGTGCCCAAGCATGAGGAGGAGGCCTTCAAGAAATTCACCCCAGTGCCAGAGGAGACCATTCGGTACCTTCCGTACCCGCCTTTGCTGCGAGCAATGATCCTTGCGCAGTGGCAGAAAGAGGGAAAACCAATCACAGAGGAGCCAATGATTGATCTGGAGAAGGTAGTGTCCTCTCCCCTTCAGGGCGCAAAGAAAAAGGCTGCAGGGACACCAGTATAAAGACTTGTCCTGTGTCCTGAGCTTTCCACATGCTCTCACTGTGTTAGAAGCACGTCATCTTACAGAAGAACCGCTTGTCCGCTGTGGTATGGTGTATCCAGGTTTCCTAGCTTTTTCCCCAGCCCTATAGAGTCACGTCTTCTGAAAAGAAAGATGCAGATGCATTCAGATTTTTTTTCCGTAACTTTCGTCTCAGTCAGCAGAGGAACCTTCTTAGTTCCCTGTATAGTCCCTGAATGTATAGCTCCTGTCATTCAGCTACAAGTCTTTGGAGCACAATTTCCTTTATAGACCGAAAATTAGGTTTTTAAGAACATTTTTCAGATAAATCACAAATTACTGAGAACATAATGTTATTTCACAGAGCTGTGTACAAATGTGTCTACTAACAAAAATAAATGTTTTCTAACCTCTGCAGAACACTTCTAAGAAAACTTGGTTGTGTTTTTTCAGTGCATGGAGATCATCACAAGGTCCAAATGCAGAGTCATTAGCTTACCAAATACAGGCACAGCATCAGATTCCTCTTAACTGCTGCAGAATCATCTGGGTTACTTATGTATGATGGCAATGAACAACATGGAAGGAACACAGCTTGACTTTGGATCCTAAGCTTATCCAAAGCTATCGCTTCTTATTCCCAGGGACAGCTATCAGAAGATAGGAGAAATCCTTTTAATTCTGGTGATGCAAAGTATACAGGATTGGCTCTTACTACGTGAAGCCAGTCACAAATTACCACCTGTTCCAGTGCAGTGTGTTGTGGTGACCATTGCAAAAATGCAACTCAGTGCAGTTCTTAGCGTTTCATTTTCTCTTGTGGTGGCTGTGGGTTCTGTTGTTGTGTCAGGAACTGTTGGAGGGTCTAGTCTGGGCGGAGGGGGCACAAGCGCTGTTGTGTTTTTTGTAACCCTACAGATCAGCTCCCTACAGAAGCAGCTATTTAGTTCTTTTGGCTGCTGTAGTCAAGAAGTGATGTTCCATTTGCTGCAGCATCCTGAAATCACAGGTAGCCTGAAAGGATTTACTGAGGGAAAGCAAAACCTGGACTTTGTGCCCTGCCCAGTGTCATGGCAGGCCTGGATGGGACAGGGGAACATGTGGCCCCAGCCACCAGAAAAGAGGCTGTCATCAGGCAGGAGCAAATGGATTGAAATCAGCTACCTGGACTTCCATGGGGTTCCTCACCAGAGGCTCCTATGGGGTAAGAGGGAAGGTTTTTCTCAAGAGTTAAAAGCTGGCTGGCTTTAAAAGCTGGCTGGGAAGAGCTGGGCATTTGTCCCTCTGTTGTGGCAGGAGTGCTGCAGGACACATGCCAGGGCTGGTTCACCAGCTTCAGAGGCAACGGGAAAATCCAGGGGAGGGAAAACCCAGAGTGTTGCTAAAGGCACAAGCAGCTTGAGGCTGAGACTTCCTGCTGCAGCTGATGGAAAACAGTTTCTCTGGTTTCCATCGCCACTGCTGCCAGGGGCTGGGCCGGGCCTTACTGCGACTGAGGTGCCAGCACACAAACCGAGGACAAGTGAGGTGGGAAACGAGGTGTAGGTGTGACTTAGATGGGACGAGTAGAACAATCTAGTCGTCTGTCCTGCACAGCCAGGAGCTGAATGCAACCCCAGCACGGGCAGTGTCCTCCCTGATGGGGTCCCACAGAGCCTGACCACAGCGGGTAGAGCCAAATGCTGGTAACAGGGTCCACCAACAGCCCCAGACAAGGCAAGAAATGACCCATGGCCAGGGTCCATCCAGGAAACCCAGCCAGGAGCAGAAGCAGATGGAGGTAATACATAATGCATGGAATCATACGATGACTTGGGTGGGAAGGGACCTTTGAAGATCTAGTCCAAACCCCCAGTCCAAGGGGTCCATTGAGGAGCAGCTGGAGATAGGCACAGCTAGAGCACAGCTCAAAGGCTGCAGGCTCCAGCTGATGCTTAAATGAGGCTCCTGGGCCATGGGTGGAAAGGGCCCACGTACGGATGGGGATGATCAGGACAAACATGGCCTGCTGATGACCTCAGGGCCTTAATGCTTGTGGGGGCTCTTCACGCAGAGCCCTGGGCAGCCTGAGAGCCCTGTTCAGTTGTGAAGGTCCCTTTCTGGAAAGCTGCACGGTCCCACTTTGCCACATGTTGGATTCAATGCCTAGAACACGCTGGGAGCACTGCCGGGACTCTCAAACCTGTGCATTAACCTCCTGGATTGTTTAACAGCATGGGGGTGGTTGTCTGACGGATGACAGTGGTAGGCCCCTTCCTCAGCCACCCAGGTGGGTGCCAGACATGGCAGCACTTCATGCAGTGCCTTGCTCAAACTGCTCCTGGCCGTATGGAATGGTGCAGCCCCAGGGGTGTGGGATGGGTCCCAGAGCCTGTTTCCAAACCTCGCTGGGGTGCTTCTATTAACCCAGGAGGCACTGCCTGTTGTACTTCACCGTGGCCTGCACAGGACCACAGTGCAGGTGTTGAAGTCATGAGGTGACTCACCTTGGGGATTCCTGCTCAGGGCAGAAGCTGCTCCTGGCACAGGGAGGTGGCCCCCTCGTCTATTACTGCTGTATACAGCCCCTGAATTAATGCAGTTCTACAAAATTAGTACGAAGGTGTTTAAGTGCTGCTGGGACTAACAGGAACTCGCTTCCTGGAGTCCTGAATGTCACTGATTGCTATGGGCCTTTGTGAAGTACCACCCTGCATTGACAGAGGACACTTGCAAACTGAGCGTTGAAAGCTGAACCTCTTGTGTTAACCCTGGCTGCTCACCTGGAGGGCACCCCACGAGGGCAGCTGCAGTTAGCCAGCAGCTCAGGCAACCTGCTGGAGAACCCGAGCCACCACCCACCTAGCTGCCAGCTCCTGAGCTTTTCCACCTTTTGTTTCTGATGCTAGGAGAAGCTACAGATTGCACTGTGACCTGCAGGACCAGCCCCTTCTGCTGTGACCCTGTGAGCAATTCACATCTTTCTCACCACTGAATTGTTCAACAGTGAACACCTGAGCTGCCATTCCCACCCTTTTAAGTGTCTTGCTGTTATTAAAGACTGAGCAGAAATCCCAGTGTCTTTACAGGAACGAGACACACTGCACTTGCTGATGTTAACACATTTATTACATACAGAACAGATATGGTTTGTTGTTTGATAGCATAGGGGACAAAGCATGGGAACGTATTCATACAGCAGTCTCTTTACAGAATGCCATCTTCAGACCAAATAGCGGAGTTTACAGGCCTTAAGACACTTTTTAAAATCCTTTTGTAACATACAAGATACTTTACATACATCACAGTGGAGATATGACAGGGAAGTGTGTTGAAGCCAGTCAGTTCTCACCTTGCTGCCCAGCAGCCACCAAACGCCCACAGGAGCTGACAGCAGGGGCTGGGTCTCCTTAGCTGTAGCTGCCCCTCTTGGACATGTGCTTCTCTTGGAGGAAAACATGCACCGAGCTGGAAAAGAACCTGTTGGTAGAGGCCCAAGACTGGTTTCCTTATGTTGCCAGGGCCCAGTGGGTGACAGGAGACTGAGTACTGTCACTTCGACTGCTAAAACCAGATACAGAACAAACAGTAAGAGGTAAGAACGTTGCAATTCTCTATTTTCCTATGGAAGAGTTGATAGAGCTAAGGAACTGGGCCTACTACGGCTTTTTTTTTTTTTTTTACCTTCAATTAGCCCAAATTATGAAGTTTATCCAGCCCTAAATGATGAACTGTTACACGTCTGTGGAATCTGTGGTCTAAATGTTGATCTTGTTAACTGTGATGCACTTTGTGTTGTGATCCAAAGAGCTCTTCCTAGCAGAAAGCATTTTGGGAAAGTGAATGAGAAATCTGGCACGGTCAGCAGTGCCCTGGTGAAATGTCCCTGGTGAAACATCCCCCTCCATGCAGGTGGGCTGCTCCAAGCACCCCTTAGCCAAATGCCAGCCCAGTGTGCAAACGGCTGAAGGACACCATCCAGCTGGTTTCCTACCTCGGTGAAGGGTGGTGCGGGTGCGCGTGCCACCAGCACCGATCGCAGGCAGCATGGGCGCCACTGCGCCGCCGTACTTTGTTGGCTGAGGCCTCTTTTCTCCGGAGATGTCCTCTTGCCTCTTTGCAGGGGAAATGTATGCCCCAGCTTTTTCTGAACTGTGGCTCCAAGAAGCATTTCAGTGCTGCTGCATCAGGACAGATGCCACATGTTAGAGCTTCCCCTGTGAATACTACATCCCTGTGGCACATGAGTAGCTTCAGACCACGAGCCTTGAGGGCAGCCTAGGCCATAGCGACAAGCACAGGACACAGCTGGGCGCTTTCCAGGAGATGGAAGCTTCCCCCAGCTGTCCCCATATCGCTGCACTGGCACAAGGACATCCCTGTGAACCCTGGAGTGCTGCACAGCTCAGGGAAGAAACAAGACAACCATGAGCTTCCAAATTCATCACCAATGACTGCTACTCACTCTAGTCCTGCACATCCGGGAGGGAGTGTTCAAAGGAAACAGAACTTGTCCCTGTGGGGACAGGTCTGTTTCCATGATCAGAAAGGGAGGACAAACCATTGCCTCTACATCTGGAGCTGCCATGTTCTGCATCTGGAGCTCAAAACCGCTCTCCCTGGCCCCATTTTTTGCTGCTTCTCTTGTAAGCAGGATGCACTTTTGGAATCCCCCAGCACTGCTTACACAAGGAGGGCCATCAGAATTTTACTTGGGAGTGTCAATTCTTTTCAGGAGTCAGATATTTCCAGCTTTTCAAACTACTTAGTAACAAACTCAGTGCTCACAATGGTAGGTAAAAGAGGTCGGGAGATCTGGCCTCAATTCTTGAGATCTGGCCTCAATTCCTTTTTCGGTGTGACCTCAGGTGAGACACAGCCTTTCTATACATTGACTGCATCTACACAGTCTTTCCTAACCGAGTCACAGTGTGAAGGAAAACAGCCATCTCCTTCCAGCAGTTCCTGGGATGGGGACACAGCCTTGAGTCAAGGTCAGTGTGTTAATAAAGAATTCACAGCGGACCAACATCATCTGCCCTCGCCTGTGTTTTAAAAGCCAACAAATGCTATGCAGAGATAGCTTTCTCTTGAACCTTTCAGAATGAACTCAAGAGTTCTCTTCTGCCTGGCAGTTTTGGAAGGGGGAGTTAAAAGTACTGCTGCCTTTTCTGCTCTTAAAAAAGGAAGATTCCAGTACCCCTTTGCTACCACAGTTTGCAAAGGCCCTGTGGCCTCCACAATCGCACACCCATCTCCCACCTGCGGCTACCAAACAATCATCTCTGGACACACAGAGTCACCCAGCACACAACTGCTGAGACAACAGCAGAAGTAGAGGAGGGAGACTTTCCATCTGCAGATATGGAGGATGTGTTCTGCACAGTAATGGCACTGCTGTCTTCTCCAGCCAAAGAGCAGAAGTGCTGCCCAAACCCTGACACTCTTTTCTGTTGAGGGTTCCCAGGACCTGGCTGCTCTCAGTCCGTAGGACATTATTCTGTGCTTAAGAGTAGGTAAAGTGGAGACTCCACTGGTGAACTAGAAAGGATTTCTGCTAGGGTGGTGCAGAAGTTGTGATTCACCGGCACTTCTTTGGCAGGGGATGCCAGGGGGAAATACTTCTCATGCAGGTGGGAGTGAGGCAACCTGCCGGAGAACCCGAGCCACCACCCACCTAGCTGCCAGCTCCCGAGCGCTGGGCAAAGGCTTTGCACAGTTCTAGCTCCAAGCTTCACTTCATCGATGCACTGCCACTTCTCTCCTTGTAGATGCCAGCTCCAGAGCAGAACAATAATCCAACCACGCAGAAAGCGCATGGGCCCAAGATGAAAGCTGCAAGTTCAGAGGTTAGAAGGGGGGATCACAGTCCGAGGCAGGAGCCGTTGCAGTTGTCTGGGGTCGGTTTCCAGCAGTAGGTATAATGCAGGCGTTCTGTATGTACATCTTGGCATTCAGGCGGGAGGAGGGACACTTACATTGGTGGGAAAGGAGAAATTCTCACTCAGGGATATATGATACCTGCCACACAATAATGTGGCTCCTTTCAGCCTTGGAAAGTACTGGCTTCACTTGGGTGGCATCTCCTGCACTCTCCTCTGTCTCATCATCTTCTCCATCCCCTGAAGAGAGAACATAGAGAGTAAAAAAGACAAGAAAGAAAATCCCAAGTTGCAGTGCTCTGGAACACTTCCAAAGAGGCCAATATCCCTGCTACAGTCTCAGCAGTCTGACAACAGACAGCAGGGGCTGAGACCTTCCTTTATGCCTGGAGAACATAAACAACATGGTGCTTTTCTGAGGCGGGACTGTATGGATGGAACAAACCATCTCCAGCAGTAGGGAAAACCACCCTTCCTTTCAGGGAAGTCAATGTTTGCAACATGGAGCAGCCTTGAGCAGCACAGGTGACCGCAGTGGGACGGCAGTGTTTGGAGCCAGTGGCACAGATGGTTTTACTCTTTCCAGAGCCATTAACACCAACTGCCTGGCACTGCCTGCCTGCAGGGGCAGGGTTTGGCAGTCATGTGCTGTGCAAGGAAAATGCTTGCTATCTGCCCTCGTAGCCAGAGGCAGGAGAAACAGAGATCAGTGCTCTTCAGATTTTGCTTCCCACAGCAGTGATCCCTCTCTCCACAACCACAGCCCTGCACCCCCTCCCATTCCAGATGCCTCCCATCAGAGGCGCTCACCGATCCGGAAATCGATGTATCCTTCTCCTCCACTCAGCACCAGGACGTTCTTCAGCTTCTGCCCCTCAGTCTCTGTGGCCGCTGTGCTGGGATTCTCTGAAGGGCTGTCCAACACACTCCCATTCAGGGTTGCTAGGACATTGCCTGGGAGAGGACAGAGGTGCTGTCAGTGCCTCTGCTCGGCCCCCATGCAGTTAACACACACAAGCACAACTGGGCAGGCCACTTCCTTCTGCTGGCGAAATCTGGAAGTCACTGCAGTTTAAACTACTGGTGTCTGAGCCACAGTGATCTGCAAGCGCCAGAAATAGCATGGACAGCTGTCTGCTGCAGATCAGCTCAAGTTCCTGCCGCAGAATGGACGGCAGGACAAGACCCTCCCAAGGAAGGGCTGTGCTCATCCTTACCAGGCACAGAGACGAAGAACTTGACAGCATCACGGTGGCCGTGGAAACAGAGCTGTGCCTGAGCCATGGAGCAGTAGGGAATGAAACTGCTGGCAGATTTGTCACTGTTGTCATCGCCGTACACGTGGATGACCCCGCCAGAGCGACTACCCTCTCCAGAGGTTGGTGAGGTCTTGTTGGCTGGGGACAGGGAGGAGGAATATCGTCAGTGGTGGCTTTGAGTCCCATTTACAGAAGGGACTCATTCAAAGAAAAAACTCATGAGCCATGAAGGAAAACCTTTAAAGGCGCAGGTCTCTTTAAAGGTCTTGTGTAAAGGATGTGATGGAGGACACCACACTAGACTACACAGTCCCTCTCTCTTAGGCTGGTAACAATCCACTCATGATAACAAACTACATTATCTCATCAAATCTAGTATTTGGCTACTAATGAGGCACACATTCCTGGAGGTGCTGGGCAAGAGTGACTCTAGGGCAAGCTAGACAAGGTCTCTGAGGTGTCCCAGTGAAGGCCTCTTCACCAGTAGCAATCCTGTCCAGCCTCCAGAAATCACCTAGGGTCCTAGGATCAGCCTTGGTCTTTTGTACCTGGCGAGTATCCAAAGGTGTCCCCTGTACCCATGAGACATTAAGGGCACCTGGAGGAGAGTTAGGGTTGGATTGCTAAAGTTGCTCAGTTTCCAGGTCGAGTCCTTTGCTCATGCCAAGCTGTGAGCACGCAGGCTGCTGAAAGCAGTCTCTGGGTCTGATGAAGGCTGCTCAGCCCAGTAAACGTCACAGCAGTGGAGTGAGGCCTTTCCCTAGTCCTGGACACCAGAAGATCAGCTACTCAAGCAATGAACTTCTGAAAGATGTTCATCATCCAGAGCTTCCAAGGATTTCACAGTGAGCTCGGGGGCTGGCATCCTTCATGTCCAGGCTCAGAGAATGTAAATGCTTCCACTCCCCAAGGAACAGAGACCAGTGCTCAGAGCTCAGGATGGGTGATGCTTTCCTTCCGCGTGCACCCACATCAGTAAAACAGAAAACCAGTATTAGAATCAGAAGGCTTTCACTTCCTGTGAGAGAACTGAATTGCTTACTTAAATATCTGTAGTTCTCTATTTTGGCTTGGGCTGGATTTCAGTTATTAAGTGACCTGGACAAAAGAGACTTTTACCTAACAGGCTCAAGCCAGGATGGCAAGACAAGTACAAATATTTTGATGGAAGAATGAGAATCAGTGTGTGCAGGGGGAAGATCCCCAAGATGAAGGCTCTCTGCACCTCTGTGCTTTGGTCTGTTGTGAGCAGCTACAACTGGATGAGTTCATGTGATTGACAGACAGGGCTGGTACTAGCACTTCTCGCTTCTTACTGCAACCAATATCAGATGCCTTAAAAGGAGGAGACATATGTTGATATTGCTTCTGGACAGCCACAGAAATGTCTTACAATGAAAAAAAAATACTCCCTTCTGACCCTGGCAAGGCTACGGTAAGCATAAATTTGAACTCAGACCCTGACTTAACTGGCACAAACCCAAACAATTCTTGATGTTTATCAAAGTCCCTTCTGGTTAAAGTCTTGGTTGATTACTGGCAGCTGGCAGGTGCCACAGCACCTACTGCCATTGGCCTGGAAATCATGAGAGAAGGATCCTTGGAAAACCAAGGATGACCAAGGAAGACCTTGGAAGAACAGTCTACTCCTGCTTCCTGGAACTCTCTGACTGAATGAACCTTTACAGGTCCCGTCTTAAACCTGGCCTACCACAATAAGAGAACTACTGATGAAGAATAAAGTACTCTCGACACAACCCCACCCCCCAGAGGGATGGCTGGTGAGATGGATGAAAATGTTTTTAGCCATGGGAAATGAGGATATTTACATTACTGTCTCTGGTCGCTTTTCTCAGATGCAACTTAAAATGAAAGAGCGATGAGGAAAAAAATGGATGGAGAGCACTGAATGGCAAGATGGAAGGGTGCCTGCAAAGATGAATGGGCGTAGAAGGAATAAAAGCTGAAGGAAGGAGGCAATAGACTTACCCCGGAGCCCAAGGAGTTGGCCTCGGTGGAGGACTACAGCTAGGCACAGGCAAGGAGTGGGAACACAGAGGGGCACAGGAAGACACAAGCAGGACGGGAGAGAAGAAAAAGGTGATTACTAGGAGAAAGTTCAGGGAGCAACAGAAATGTATAAAACCTAGGAGCTACAGATCAGTTTATACGAACACTGTTCTTGCTCACTTTCCTCTTATCTTACAAGGACAAATGTAGTATCTGAGATGGCAGAGGGACCATGGTCACAAGGATCCATTGCTAAAGTTTCTAGTGAGACCTTACTGCTTACATTTTTACAGAAACACCAAAAAAAAAGATAATGCAACTGGTTCACAGCAGGGAACAAGCTTAACTCAGAATTAGGATAGCCCCAAGAATGGGCTTTAAAACAGGGATTCAGAAATGAGACCCAGACAATGCACAAAGACTCCGTGTCACTGGCCTCCTGGTGTCAGCCCCGGGCACATCCAGCTCCACTGCCCTCAGAGGAGACCACCTCAGCCCTGACTTCCAGGAGGATTACAATAGGTTTGCTCCTCTTATACAAGAGCCATTTGCTTCTCAGCTTTCCTGTGAGCAGTGGTGAGGAAATGCAAATTTGGCTGCTTTCTGTTGAAAGCAACTGCTATCAGCCTCAAATCCTACTCCCCTATTATAATCTGGAACAGACCTTCAAAATAAGATGCTAACTGGCAGGTACAGAACAGGATTATTAAGAGCCTCAACTAAACTTCCAGCTCCAGAGATGCACCCATTAACTACTCCTGCTGGGTCTCCTCAAGGGGTTGGATTTGGCATAGGATACGGATTTCTACTCCACTGATAAAGCTGAACCCTAATTTGAGTAAATGAAGCTTTTCTAAGGTCAGTTTCTGGAAAATACCATTATGGAGATGTTTAGATGTCTATGCCAAAACAAAATTTCTGCTGACTTCTCATCCCATGGCCTCCTTTTGGAGACTTAATACAATTCTAAAAGCTTTGCTTCTCCTGCTTTCCAGTAGCTACAGAATCAGTTCACATCAGTCTGCTCTGTCAAAGGTCATGCTTAAAAAAAGAAGACTGTACAGATGGTAGAGATGTCATTGGTCCCCCAAGAAGGAAATGGCTTCAACTGAACTGAAAGGGACAGTAACAAATACCTATTTGGTTTTAAACAGGTTAAATCCATTCAACTGAACACTTAATTCCTTAATAAGGAAGAGTTAAACCAAGTTCAGGGTTGCTCACACTCAGGGCTCTTCTCTCTGAACACTGCCACGATCAAAGGTGTGTCTGGTTCAGAGTACAAATGTCTGGAAAGCATGAGCCCGCCAGAGCCATCTGCCATGCTGCACAAATTACACAGAAAAGTGTTCTTTTTTTTCGGGGGGGATGCAAAAGTACCTCCAATAAATGTCACTTACTCTCAGTCAATGGAATGGAGATGACGACACCGTTCCCTGTGCCTACCCAGAGGCGGTTGCCAGCAATGAGCAGGGCTGTAATCCGCACGAATGAGAAGCCCAGCTTTCCAGTGCCTAGTAAGCATGCATAAGAATTGGAGAGTCAGTTATGACTGTGCGAGGTCTGCTCATGAATTTTGATTTCTCTCTGATCTCAGTAAGCAACAGACCATTTACTGACAGTCCCTACTGCCTCACCTAGCATCTTGCTGACGTAAGGCTCAATGTCGACATCCTGCAGATGTTGATGGCTGTGGGCATGGTAAAGCCTCAGAGTGGAGTCCAGGCGGATAGAAACCCATACTCCATCGCCAATCCATGCCAGCTGTCGCACCTGACTCTCCCGCCGAGGGTGGGCATCAAAGGATTTCTGAAATACCAAACAGGTGGACCAATGTGAGTTCACAAAAGGTTTGCAATTATCGACACATATACTCCATTTTCCTCAACTGAGATGACTTGTTTGCGTTTCAGAGCTCTTGGAGAAAATGTATTAATGCCAGCTGACCTCAGAAGTTCACTTCTGAGAGGTTCACAGAAAATCCCTCACTTGAATGATGAGCTGTATAGCAGCTCTGCAGAGATAATGGTCTTTGCAGACCACTTCAGGAGCAAGAACATTTAGAAACCAAGAGCTTTCAATGTGTTTGGTAGAAAAGGAAAATACACAAGCCCAGTATAAATTCCAAAGATCAAATTGCCTTGGCTCACTGATGTGAACTTCAGATTCAGCACTTCTCCCTTTGATTAGAATTATTCCAAGCACTGTCAAACAGGTTTGTACCAATACCACTGTATTCAATTTCAACCAAAAGGCTCTAAATGTCATTTTTTTCTTAGGCAAGTGGGATCACTGGGGCTTGCTAAATGTACTCTTCCTTTGTGCCACAATGCCTATAGACAGAGAAGTCTGACTATATGAAGGATAGCTAAAAAGCACACACGTAGATGTGTACAGTACATGGCCCCATAGACTCACTAGTAAAAGCAAAGAAAGTGCTCAGTTTAGACTTACCTAAAGATTTAAGCTCTGTAAAGGGAGGAAGGAATAAATATCCCCCTGGCTGACTGAGTCATAACATGACCCGGATGATTGGCAATTTGGATCCTACAGTCAGCAATGACAAT